ATCCATAACTCACTTAAGATTAGAAGGGGGAAGCCCTAGACAGCTTGGCTCAGTGGATAGCATCTACCTGCGTGTGGACTGAAGGGTCCTAGGTTCCATTCCGGTCAAGGGTACATGCCTGGGTTGCAAGCTCAAACCCCAGTGGGGGGCATGCAGGAGGCAACCGATCAAAGATTCTCTCTCATCATTGATGTTTCTATCTCTCCCACTCCCTTCCTCTCTGAAATCAATAGAAATATATTTAAAAATAAAAGAGGTTAAGACCTTATCTCAAGGTCAGATAAGGGCCTTACATGTTTTAAGGAGGGAAGCACCATGATCAGACTTTAGTTTTAGGAAGGTTACCCTCAGTTCTGGGCCTTTGGGCTAAGATCAAGTGTAGGAAGATTACTCAGAAGATATGCCTTAAAAATGTTAAAGAAAATGAGATGCTTGTCTTTCATCCTTGGAGAAAGACTCACTCCCTGGTATCTAAGGAGGGTCAGGTGTGAGGCAGGAGAGTGACACATGAGATATGCATGTTAACACTCATGCCCCTAAAGGCCCTCACAAAGTATAAATGGAGAAGTAACGCGGGAGCCAGAGGGAACTTAGAGTCGAGGGTGGAAATCAAGACCTCCACCATGTCCTCCATCTGCTTCATCTGCCATTTCTGCCGCCGGCCCCTGATGCCGCCCCTGTCCACGGAGACCAAGGGCCTTGACCTCAGCCAACCACCTGCAGCTTTGACCTTCCCCTCAGCTCAGGGGAAGCCGGGAGACACTCCGGAGGAAGGCTCTGCCTCCAGGACGGAGACGGACCTGGAAGAGCTGCAGGGCGGTGCCTCCGGCTGGACCATCCCTGATGATGGCAAGATGTCCAGGGACGATCCCAGCCACTTCACCCTGCTCGGGAAGCTGGCCTCGGGGAGGACCCTCAGTAGCATCCAGAGGACCATCGCGGGCCTTGGTGACGTCCTATCCGGTGAAGAGCTGGGCCACCCCCTGTGCGAGGACTGCACCGACAGTCTCTTGGGGCAGCTGGATACCCAGCTCAGAATCGCAGGGTCTGACTGTCAGACCTACAAGCGCTGTTTGGAGACCAAGGATGGATTAGGTGAGGACGTGAGGGAGACGCTGGAGCAGGAGCTGAAGGTCATGGAGCTGGAGGAAGCCAGGCTGGTCCAGGAGCTGGAGGAGGTGGAGAAGAACCGAGACAGGGCAGCTGTGGCCCTGGAGGCAGCCCAGGCAGAGACGGAGACTCTGGAGCAGCAGGAAAGGCAGTACTACAAGGACCTCGGTGAACTTCAGTGGCAGCAACAGGAACTGCAGGACGAGCTGTTGAGCTTGGAGGACCGGCTGCTGTACGCCCAGACCCAGCTGTCCAGGCTGAAGAGAACCAACGCCTTCAAGGCCGCGTTTGAGATCTGCTGTGACGGCCCCCTGGCCATCATCAATGGCTTCAGGTTGGGTTGTGTCCCCACTGTCCCGGTGAGCTGGAGGGAGATCAATGCAGCCTGGGGGCAGACAGCCTTGCTGCTCATGGCCTTGTCCAACACAGTGGGTCTGCAGTTTCAGAGGTACCAGCTCATCCCCCGCGGAGACCACTCCTACCTGAAGTCACTGACAGAGGACCCCGTGGAGCTGCCCTTGTTCTGCACCGGGGAGAAGAGCTCTCTCTTGAATAGCAAGTTTGACCAGGCTATGGTGGCCTTCCTGGACTGCATGCAGCAGTTCAATGAGGCGGCCAAGAAGGGTGAGCCAGCTCTCTACATGCCCTACAGGATCCACGTGGAGGAGGGCCTGATGGAGGACCCAGGATCCGGTGAATTCTACTCCATCAGAACCCACCTGAACACGGAGGAGCGGTGGACAAAGGCGCTCAAACTCATGCTTACAAATTTTAAGTGGAGTCTGGACTGGGTCTCCTTAAGGTATACTCACAAATAACCGTATTGGAACATTATGCTAAGAGAAAGAACACACTATAGAAACAGACCCATAGAGAACAGGCAGACAGTTCTGACGGGGGTGGGGTGAGAGGGGTGGAGGGATTGAGCAAAAAAAGAGAATTCATGGACAGGGACTGGGGAATGGGGCAATAAATGGTGATGGAAAATAACAAAATAAAGCAACAAAATAAATGTGTGGTTTGTGGTTTTTTTTGCTTTAAAGTATCTTATCAGATCAATTGTAAAACTGAACATATGACAAGTTTATAACTTTAGTAATAACTGACACAGAAATTGATCTAAGAGGAATGAGAACTGCCCACAGCAAAGCAAGGCCATTGTGCCTTCCCCAGCACAACCCTGTTCTCCTGTACGTTCCTCCTTCCCCTTCCTCACCTGGACAAATGCAAAATGGCAGCAAAGGTTAAATGGGAAGGTGACGGGAAAAAGCTTTGTAGAGGGCAAGAACAGGGTGGGGGTAAGAGGAGAGTGGGTGGTAAGGAGTAAGGTACAGGTCTTCAATTTTTTAATAAGAAAATAAGTGTTGACCTATGAACCAGGACGTCACAGTTAGATTCCCAGTCAGGGCACATGCCCGGTTGCAGGCTCGATCCCCAGTGAGGGGGGCATGCAGGTGGCAGCCAGTCAATGATTCTCTCTCATCAGTGATGTTTCTCTCTCTCCTTCTCCCTTCCTCTCTGAAATCAATAAAAATATATTAAAAGAAATACCTTCATGAGTATTTGGTTTCTCTTACATGGTGTCAGATATGTGGTGCTCTTTGGTCCCTTCTTTCCTCCCTAGCCGTGGTTGGCGCATGTCTCCTCTGTTGACTGTTTCTATAGCTAACATGTCAAGCCGTTTGATTCTGTTCTTAGTTTCATCTCTCTTCCTTATACGATAGAATCATTGATCGGCTGCCTCCTCCACACCCCCTACTGGGGATTGAACCCACAATCCAGGCATGTGCCCTTGACTTGAATCAAACCCTGGACCCATGTCTTGCTGCTCCCCTGGGGGCCGCCATCTTGAAACAGCAAAGGCCAACCCCTCCTTTTGAATTAGTCAATCAGGAAAGTCCGTGTACCTGAGCTCCAATCAAGAGCAAGGGACAGGTCACGTGGGTTGTTAAGGCATCTGCTTCAGAAAGGCACTTGTAGAGATTCAGAGCCAGGTTCCAACAGGAAACTTTCAGGGGGGTGGGGTGGCATGTGTCCCGTTAGGGGCACCCAACAAGCCAAGAGTCATGATGCCCCGTGAGGGCGTCTGCCAGCGATGCTGTAGGTATTTGCTTTCCACAGATTAGGAGTTTATGAATTATTTCCAATGCTGAATACACTGCCTGCAAGAAGCCATGTGCCGCATTTTAAAATCTTACATATTACTTATTATTTATATGCTGAAATTATAATTGAATCTAAAGGTATACAAATTTTGCCCTAACCGGTTTGGCTCAGTGGATAGAGCCTCGGCCTGCGGACTGAAGGGTCCTAGGTTCAACTCCGGTCAAGGGCATGTACCTTGGTTGCGGGCACATCCCCAGTGCGGGGTGTGCAGGAGGCAGCTGATCGATGTTTCAAACATCCTATCCCGCTCCCTTTCCCTTCCTCTCTATAAAAAAAATCAATAAAATATATTAAAAAAATAAAGGTATACAAATTTTATGTTCTCTATGTCATTTTACAGGGATTATTAAAAACAAAGACA